GTAGGTAGGTAGGTAGGTAGGTGCAAATGTATAGTGTAGACTATGCACACCTGCACAGCTCTCAGTTCTCTGCTTTTGAAGCCCTTGAACCCTCCACCCTCAATTCAAGAGACGCGCATCACTCCCATCCGGTTCCATCCCTTCTCCCTGGGCCTCTGCGGGTACAGTATGGACTGGCAGCTCACTGTCTCAATTTTCTCTGTGGCAAAAAGAGCCGGTGCAGTTTTGAAGCAACTCCCAACCTCGTCTGCAGGAGCTTGAAACTGTTGAGAGGTCGGCTTCTGGCTCTTTATGTTACTATCACTATTGTGACACTGTAGTCGAAAATACTATATCTGCTTCCCGCAAACCGAACCCCTAAAACCCTAAAACCCAAACCTTAAGGGACAACAGGAGGGAATTTTAGAAGGGACCCCTAATCCTAATACCATATATAACCCTTATATACCCCTTATATAGTCTCACAAAGCCCCTATATAACCCAAGAGTCCCTTTAAGGGTCCCTCCTTTACTTCCTTGAAAACCCCGGATTCCCCAACACCCGACCCTAAACCCTGAAACCTATACCCGAAATCACGCAAACCCTAAACCCTAAACCCTAAACCCTAAACCCTAAACCCTAAACCCTAAACCCTAAACCAAACTCTTCGGCGTTGTTTCGCTCGGGGCTTTGGGTCTTCCCAGTTCGAAGCAGCAGGACTGAGGGGTTATATACTAAAACACAAGATACTATACTATACTCAGCTATACTGTACTAGATCCACTGTACTAGATCCTAAGATACTATACTATACTATACTCTACTCTACTCTTGAAGGTTACAGCGGTTGGGAAGTAAGGTTTTTGCTCGCCGGCTTGGGCTGCAACGTTGTGGGGTTTGGGCCCCCCTCGCTTTAATCGTCGCCTTCCTGGTGCTGGGGATGCTTCGTTAGTCCTGAAAAAATTGGGGTACCCTAAACCCCAAGCCCTAAATCCCAAACTTTAAACCCTATAGACCACGAACCCCCGAAACCTAAACTACCCCCTGTGTGTGATCGGGGGGGGCGTTTCGTCCTTTGGGATCTTTCGGTTTTAGGGTTCAGGCCCGTCGAGGTCTACAGTACCAGCTTTCCCCAAAGCTCGGCAATCGGTATTGCTAGTTCTCTAAACTAGGGTCCCTTTTATGATCCTTTCTATAAGGGGTGCCGTACTTTATTCGGGACGTAAAAAGGGACCCTAACTTAGAGAAACTACCCATATAGAACCCTTATAGAAAGCCTGAACAGGGACCCTTAAAGATCCCTTTAAGGACTCCTAAACAGGGACCCTAATTCTGAGAACTACCGGAAGCAGAGGGCAGACGCGGCCGTGCGGCGTACTGCGCCCACTGCCAGGGCCCCCAGGTCGCCCAGTAGGAAGACTTCCTTTAGGGTTTAGGGCTTTGCTTAATGGTTTAGGGTTTAGGGCTTAAGGTTTAGGGTTTAGGGTTTAGGGTTTAAGGTTTAGGGTTTAGGGTTTAGGGTTTAAGGTTTAGGGTTTAGGGTTTAGGCTGGCATCGCTTTGGGGCGGCAGCACTAGTAGCAGTAAGGGGTAGTCGTAGTATGAAACAGTTAGTACTGGTGGTAGTAGCAGTACTACTACTACTACTACTACTACTACTACTACTACTACTACTACTACTACTACTAGTAAGGTACTAGTACAGTACTAGCACTGGTAGTAGTACTAGTACTAGTACCAGTACTGGTACTGGTACTGGTACTGGTACTGGTACTGGTACTGGTACTAGTTCCAGTACTAGTACTAGTACTAGTAGTGGTAGTAGCGGTAGTGAAGGTGGTAGTGGTCGTGGTCGCGGCAGCAGTACTACTGCCCGTGCTGCCACTCATAGAACCTTATGAAGCCCTACACAATCCTGAGAGAGCTAGTGCTACTATCCTGCTAGCACTACAGCGACTGCCAGTAACTGCTAGTACAAGTAAGCGTGGTACTGCAACCAGGTGGCGGCGGACACAGAAACAGCGACAAGACCTCAGGAGAGCATCGATGTTGCAAATGCGCGATGCCGCAGATGCAAACAAGCACAAGGCCGAATTCGATGGGAAGGTCACCGTTGTCTCCACAGGCTCCCACTCATTGTCCACCCCTCGCTTCCCTTCATGCGTCTCCAGAAAGGTGCTCCGCTCCGATTCTGCGCAAGTTCTGAGATCCGAACACAGCCGCCGCAGACACCACCAAAGGCAAAAAGACGAAGCGACCTCCGAAATGATGAAAGAGTTTACGGCTTTCCAAATTCATGGCTCCCCAGTGGCTCTAGGTCGAAAGGGCGCTCTCCACACCACATGTCGTACCTGGACATGCTCACACACGGCCCCAGACATGTGCAAGATTGAATCTTGCGGCCATCACTGTTTGCCTCCAATTCCCCGAACACATGGCTGCGCTCTCCAAGGTGAGGGCTCGCACTGCTGCTTGTACTCCGGGTAAGAGAGCGCA